TCTGTTCAAGCACAAAAGCTTTCTTCAACTGCCGTATTAAAATACCAAACCAGTCCTCTGCACTCACTAACCCCTTATTCTGCTGTGTTTTTTTCCTAACTTCCTTATCACTTCCTGATACATTATGTACTTGTTCATTTATTATGTCTACTGTTCTGTATAAGAATGTGAGCTCTATGAGGAATTTTGTTTTATTCACTTCTGTATCTACCTGCTTATAACAGGTACTCAATACGAGTTAAATGAATGGCCCTGGGCCACTCCTAGCTATGTTTTTGAGGGGTTTTTTTGCTTTCCCTCTTTCCATAACTCAGCAAAAGCACTGGCTAATTTTCAGCACGTCAATTAATTCCTCTAAAGAGGGTGAGTAGCTGTCCCAGTTTTCTAGGACTGAGGTAGTCCCTGGAACAAAGGACTTTCAGTGCTAAAACTGAGCAAATCCAGTTTTAGTTCCAGATAAAATGAGTTGGTCACCCTATCTCTAAACCTAAATTTTCCCATTTATTTTTTTTAAAATAGTAGCTTCCTCAAAGAGTCTAGTAAGAAACAAGAGTATGTGTGCAAAATACAACACAGGCTCTAGAAGTGTGAGTTGTAGTTGTGTTTGGACAGCCTGTCCCTCTGAGCTTCAACCATGGTAAACAGCCTGCATGCAGGCCCCTTCCCATGCCCAACGCCCTACCTGAAGCAGCAGGAGACGTTTCAATGTTGCCATCTTGTTTAGGTCATTTTGATACAGCTGTTTTTGTGTATCAAAGTATGTTTTGACTTTTGACAGAGCTCCTTTGACACAGAGACATTTAGACTTTGACCTTTAAAAAAAAAAATCATCGGTTGGGTGCGGTGACTCAGGCCTGTAATCCCAGCACTTTGGGAGGCTGAGGTGAAGGGATTTCCTGAGCCAGGGGTTCAAGAACAGCCTGGGCAAATTGCTGAGACTTCATCTCTACAATTAATCAAAAATTAGCTGGACGTGATAGCACGTGCCTGTAGTTCCAGCTGCTTGGAAGGCTGAGGTGGCAGGATTGCCTGAGCCCAGCAGGTCAACTCTGTGGTGGCTGTGAGCATGCATGCCTCTGCACTCCAACCTGGGCAATGGAGTGAGACTTCAACTCCAAAAATATATAATAAATGAATAAAATAAAAATCATCAACCTTTTATGTTCTAAAATATTGATGTATAAAGTCCTGTGCTGTGCAGAACGTAATCTTAGCACTTAAGTGAAAGCCATTGTTGGGGTCAGAAGCCAGCTGGTAGGCAAGCCATGAAAGACCAAGGGGCGTTTCTCTCCAGTTTCCTCACCCAAGAGAGGGCTATGGAGGAATTCTAAGCAAAGCAGTCTTCAATGCCTGGAAATTTGCTTCAAAGTTGACTGGCTCGCCTCTCAAAGTCTCAGGTTTCTCCCTTAAAATTAAATATATTGGTGGAAGAGGAGGAGGAGTTGGGGTCACAGTGGGATCCATTATTCTCAACTCTAGATCAACACGGGAAATCTTCCACAACCTTCCCAACAGCTCTTTCCATTCTCAATAACAGACAAATTATATTTAAATACGATAAACCTCCTTTATCATAATGTTTTTGGTGCACAGGACTGATATCCCCTTAGAGGCAAAGATAATATAAAATACTTTTTTCTTAAAAAACTACCTTTTTTCTTATTATAAAAGAATATTCATTTTTTAAAATCCCACAATGATAAAGAAGTGAATGCCATAGAAAGTGAAACCCGTGGTGACCAGAAGTGGAGTAAGGGTCAGGGTGTCTGAGCTGTGCATTACTTGGGGGAGTAAGAGCAGAGGATAGGTCCTTTTCCACAACTTTGTTGGGTTTAGATTTGTTATGTTGCCCCAAAATAAGGTCACACATCCAGTGGCAGGGACACAGGAAATAAGGGTTCATCGCCACTCCACTTTCATTGTTAAACACTCAAAAATGCTTCACAAGGACTCTAATCCTATTTTTACATTTTTTCTTTTTTTTTTTTGAGTTGGAGTCTCACTCTGTCACCCAGACCGGAGTGCAGTGGCCGCTCCCAGCCACCACAGCCTCGACCTGCTGGGCTCCAGCAATCCTTCTGCTCAGCCTTCCAAGTAGCTGGAACTACAGGCGCACGCTACCATGCCCGGCTAATTTTTGATTTATTGTAGAGATGAGGTCTCGCCAAGTTGCCCAGGTGGGTCTCGAACCTGCGGGCTCAGGCAATCCACTCACCTCAGCCTCCCAAAGGCGCGGATTCCAGGCTGAGCCACCAAGCCCGGCCACATTTTTTCATTTTAAGAGATCACTCAAAACACAAAAGCTCTGTGAGTTACTCTTGCCCTAGAAAGGCCCAAGTAGTGTCAGAACAACCCTTTTCAGAAATCCCTTCCTCAGAATTGCCCCTGTTGCAAAAGATGTCACTGCAGTTGCAAAATATTTTGCTTTAGACTGGAAAGCCCCATTCTTCTACCTGACTATGTCATAGAGGCCTTAGTCTCAGCTCAGAGGAGTTTCCTGACCAGTTGAAGTGAGGTTACACAGCACCATTCATGTCACTGCACAATCTCATCATTTATCAGCTGTTAAAACAAGCCAGGCAGTTGCAGTGACTCATGCCTGTAATCCCATCACTTTGGGAAGCCAAGGCAGAAGGATTGCTTGAGGTCAGGAGCTCAAGACCAGCTTGGGCAACATAGCAAAGACTCCATCTCTATTTTTAAAAAGAAAAAAACTAAAGTAAAAAAACAAAAACACCAAATACTCTGTGAGATATAAAATATGTGAACCAACTGGCAATCAGTTCAATCAACCAGACCTCATCTAAGCCTTGATCCCAGGCTGTGCACATGGGGCTATTTGTTCAGCCAGGCATCAGACTATTGTGACTGACATGTGAGAGTGACCCATCCTAGGTTTCACAGGTCAGCTGGAAGAGTGATATCCATGAATAGTAGAACCATAAGTTATTGTCATGCAGGAGACAATGTTGTGAAGTGGTTTGACAGAGTGAGTTTGCATCCAGGCTCTGGGCAAGTCACTAAGCCACAGACTCTTAGCTGTAAAATGGAGATGCCAAACACAGCCCTGCAGGTGCTGCAGAGATTTTAAGAGACAATGTTTATAAAACAAGGGTTGCCTGGCCAGAGGAAGTGCTGGGGAACGGTAAATTGTGTTATCAACAAAACATCTTTTTTTTGAGTTGGAGTCTCTGTCGCCCAGGCTGGAGTGCAGTGACACAACATGGCTCACTGCAGCCTCGAACTCCTGGGCTCAGATGATCTTTCTGCCTCAGACTCCTGAGTAGCTGGGACCATAGGCACACACCATCACACCCAGCTAATTTTTTAAAAAGATTTTTTGTAGAGATATCTCTCTCTCTCTCTCTCTCTCTCTCTTTTGAGTCAGAGTCTCACTCTGTCACCCAGGCTGGAGGGCAATGGCACGCTCACAGCCATCATGGCCTCAACTTGCTGGGCTCAGGTGATCCTTCCACCTCAGCCTTACAAGTAGCTGGAACTACAGGTGAGAGCCATCACACTAGGCTAATTTTTAAAAAAATGTATCGTGGTGATAAGGTTTCGCCAAGTTGCTCAGACTGGTCTTGAATCTCTGGGCTCAGGCAATCTTCTCACTTCTGCCTCCCAAAGTGCTGGGATTATAGGCGTGAACCATTGTGCCTGGCCCAAAATGAGATATCTTTATGTTGCCCAGGCTTAGTCTTGAGATCCTGGGCTCAAGCAATCCTTCCATTTCAGCCTCCCAAAGTGCTGGGATTACAGGTATGAACCACGGTGCCTGGCCATGCATTGTGATTACTGTATTTAAAATAATATCCTTGTATCCTTTTTCTTAGCATTTAGGATATCTAGGGTACTTGGAGTGATACGTAATAATATTTCTGATTTATTGCCAAATGGTTCAGAAAAAAGAACTATGTGTGTATTTCTGTGAAAAAGAGAGAAAGGGAGGGAGGGAAGGAAAGAAAAGCAGAAAATAGTGTAAAATGTAAACAGTTGGTGAATCTAGGTAAAGAATATACATGTGTTCATTGTATATACTCTCCACTTTTCCATAGGTTGAACATTTTCAGAACAAAAGTTGGGGGTATAAATCAGGGTATGCAAAAAGACAAAAGTAGGTAATTGAGGTGAAAATCAGTTCAGAGACGCCTCTGAATGCTGCAGACATGCCTCTGGGGCCCCATGCCGGGCTGTAAGCTGAAGGACACCTGTGTCTTCTCACCCATGTATCTCCAGCCTCTTGGCATAGTGTCCAGAACACAGGTTCCGTGAATTTGCATGGAAGAGCACCCTGGCTCTCTGGGACTGAGGGCCCAGTCAGTTCTGGGAATAGACGAATCAGGATGGTGGTCCAGGCATTGTGTTTAGAGGCCTTCGTGTTGCTGAAAGGACCAGATAATTGGAACCAGATCAACAGGGGTGACACCAGGGCTTGACCCCAGGCAATGCCCTTCTGACTTCACCTGCCTTTTAGGCAGGGAAGGGCAAAGCTCAATGGACTATGTTTGCTGCCCACCCCTTTCTTCTGCCATTGGATCTAGAGGGCCCATGTAACCCCAAGAGTCTGGAGGAGAACATTTGCCCCTCAGCATGAACTCTCTGTCCCCACACACCCTGTCTGCCAGCCCCGCATCTGGAAGAGAGAGTGGTTGGAGCAGCTGGGATCCAATTCCAGACCCTCCTTTGCAGACTTGCCCACCTCTCTTGCGGTTTAGTATGGAGGTGAGAGCTGGGATTCTGGTGGGGCCACATATCTGGCAAGGCATTGAACTCTCTCAGGTGGAAAAGCCTTTGAACTTGTGAGAAGAGAACACAAGCTGGTGCTGACACACTGTTACCCTTAGTCTCAGTTCCCAACAAAGCACAGAGCATTTCCTGTGCATCTTCCGTTATTTCACAAGTTGCCTCTTCTTGCTCACACTTGGCACTCCCGGACAGAGGGCTTCTTCTCCTGCCAGAAGCCGGATAGCTGGACCTGGTCTCTCCTGCTCAGTGCCATGGCCAAGACCCCTAGTGACCATCTGCTGTTCACTCTGGAGGAGCTGGTACCCTATGACTTTGAGAAGTTCAAGTTCAAGCTGCAGAACACCACTGTGGAGAAGGAGCACTCCCGGATTCCCCGGGGCCAGCTCCAGGTAGCCAGGCCGGTGAAGGTGGCCAATATGCTGATCACCCACTATGGGGAGGAGTATGCTGTGCGGTTGACCCTACAGGTCCTGCGGGCCATCAACCAGCGCCTCTTGGCTGAGGAGCTCCACAAGGCAACTGCCCAGGGTAAGCAGGCCCCAGCATTTCCTCACCCAGTGCTGACTGCCGGCTGCTCCATGGGAAGAGAGATTGTGTGCTCAGACCAGTACACTCTGACTTGGGGGTCAGGAGTCTCAGGTCTATCAAGACTCAAGTGACTTTGTTCAGGCATGTCTCTTTCCTCATCCTGGCCATTGATGCTCCCTAAGGCTCCTAATGGCTTTAAAAAACGAAAAAAGAAGAAAAGCAGGTCAGCTGGGCATGATGGCTCATGCCTATAATCCCAGCATTTTGGGAGGCTGAAGTGAGGGGATCCCTTAACCAGAAGATCAAGACCAGCCTAGGCAACATAGTGAGATCTCATCTCTACAGAAAAGTAAACAAATTATCTGGGTGTGGTGACATGCGCCTGTAGTCCCAGCTGTTTGGAAGGCTGAGGTGGAAGAATTACCTGATCCCAGCAGATGGAAGCTGTGGTGAGTCATGATCATGCCACTGCACTCCAGTCTGGGCAACAGAGTGAGACCCCCAACTAGAAAAACCGAAAAACAAACAAAAAAAACTTATGTTAGACAAGTGTCTATGAGATGGCAAAAAGGGCTCGCTAGCCAATCATATTAACAGAGATAGTATATAACCTTCTCATTGTTATCCACCTAATTTCCCTTTTGAATTCCTCTAACACACTCTACAAGGGTATTTCAAAATGCTCAAGAGGGCTTCTTTTCCCTCTTTTTTTCTCACTTCTTTTTCTTTCTTTCTCTTCCTCTCTCCCTTCCTTTCTTCCTTCCTCCTTCTTCTGCTATCCTTTTGTTGTAACTTTCTGATTTTATTACATTATGATCAAATAATGCAGTCTATTTTATTTCTGCTTTTAAAGACTTTTTTGAGATTTCTGGAGGGCCTAATATATGGTCAGTCTAAAAAAATACTCTTTGGTGTTTGAATTTTTCTTCTATTTCTGGATTTTAAGATGATATCAGAAATGCATTTCTATGAGCTTGAACAGTTCAAATAACATAAAAATTTTCTGCACAATGAAATAGTAATAGAACTTAATCCATAATCTGAATCTGGTAGAATTTGATGAATTTAACTTTATTTATTTATTTAATTATTTTTATTTATTTTTTGAAAGCAGGATTTATTGAGAGGACAGAAAAGCTCCCACAGTGGGAGGGGACCTGGGGGAGTTGCCTTGAATTTTAAAATTTCTTTTTTGTGTTCTAAAATCTAGTTATTAGCATCTTTATGGTTTCTCCCCAGTTATTGAGCCAGTTTTGGTAACTTTTTCTAGAAAACCAATAGCAAACTGTTTTAAACAACTTTAAAATAATTTTAATAAAAGCTCTTGCAAACCAAAACTTAAGGTGTTAATTACGGGTTATCTTCATTTCCTTATTAGAGAGTAGTGGGGTTCAAGCAATCCTCCTGCCTTGACCTCCCAAAGTGCTGGGTTTACAGGCTTAGCCCAATAAATTTGTATTTGGATGCATCAGTGACCAAAGTTTAAAATATTGGAAACCGCCAGTGTGATAGCTCATGCTGTACTTGGAGTCCTTCTTATAGAGATCTTAAAAGTAAGGCTTTTCTGTTATTTCTCTTCAATTAAACAGTATCCTGAAATTACCAGGTAAACTATTTTTTAAAAGTTAACTGTTTACACTTACTGATCTGTTTGAGTTGGAATTTTTTTCAACACATGCAACCAAAGAAAAATACAGAAATAAATTCATTTCTGAGCTTTTTTTTTTTTTTTTCGAGTTGGAGTCTTATTCCATTGCCCAGGCTGGAGTGCAGCGGCATGTACATGGCCACCACAACCTCGACCTATTGGGCTTAGACGATCCTTTCACCTCAGCTTTCCAAGTAGCTGGAACTACAGACACACGCCACCATGTCCAGCTAATTTTTTTGTGATTTATTGTAGAGACGAGAGCTCACCAAGCTGCCCAGGCTGGTCTTGAACCCCTGGGCTCAGGCAGTCCCCTTGTCTCAGCCTCCCAAAGTGCTGGGATTATAGACTGAGCCACCACGCCCAACTGACTGTAGATTTTTAAACAATCACAATGGATTCCACATAGAGAGAGAATGGATCATAGGGTCCAACAGTAGAAAAGATGCCGGGCAGCCAGTTAAGAGGCCATGGCAGCAATCCAGAAAGCCAACAGTGTGCAGACCCAGCTAGAGGCTGTGGAGGTGGAGAAAAATCCAATGCAAAGTATCTTTTGAAAGTAGAACTGACGTTAGATTTGAGGGGGAGAGGAATTGATCTAGTGTTAAGGTCATGGGCCTTTCTAAAGTGAAAGCTGACATTCTCACTTCCCAAAAAATGAACACTTTTTTTTCTTTTTTGAGTGGAAGACTCACTCTGTCACCCAGGCTGGAGTGCAGTGGCACACTCACGGCCACACCAGTGTCGACCTGCTGGGCTCTGGTGATCCTTCCACCTCAGCCTTACAAGTAGCCAGAACTACAGATGTGCACTACCATGCCTGGCTAATTTTTTGATTTATTGTAGAGATGAGATCTCACCAAGTTGCCCGGGCTGGTCTTGAACCCATGGGCTCAGACAATCCACTTGCCTCGGCCTCCCAAAGTGCTGGGATTACAGGCCACTTTTGAGGTTTTTTTTCTTTGAGTTGGAGTCTCACTGTGTCGCCCAGACTGGAGTGCAGTGGCCGCTCCCGGTCACTGCAGCCTCAACCTGTTGGGCTCTGGTGATCCTTCCACCTCACCTTCCAAGTAGCTGGAACTACAGGTGCGCGCTACCATGCCCGGCTGATTTTTTGATTTATTGTGAAGATGAGGTCTCACCAAGTTGCCCAGGCAGGTCTCGAACCCGCAGGCTCAGGCAATCCACTCACCTCAGTCTCCCAAAGCGCGGGATTACAGGCTGAGCTACCGAGTCCGGCTGAGTGTTCTGACCTTTAATTTCTCTCATTTCTGAGGAGATTCTCTCCTCTCTCTTCCCCCACACCTCAGCCCTGAGAATTGGACAGTTTTATACCTTTGCATCTGGTTGTCTTTTCAGAATATCCAACACAAGAAAGTGACACAGACAGTTCGGCAGTGTCTTGCTCCTCTGGGGAGAATAAACTCAAGAGCATGAAGATTGCAGACTGCCCAGAAAGGAATGGGTTACAGCCTGGTGGTGATGGGACCAGCTTACTACCCAACCAGCCAGAGGCTGGGATAGGACCCCAGAAGAAGCCTCAGGGCAGACGGAGGGACCAGAAGGCCTCCAAGGGCCTGGATGAGCAGGGCAAACCACAGACCCAGAGCCCAGTTCCACTTTCCAGGAGAACCCTGTGCCCTGGCAAGTCATGGGGGGACAGCCAGGCCAGCACCAGTCTCTGCAGAAATGCCAGTTCTGCAGGGAGACTTCAAGGGCTCTCCAGTGGGGCCCTGGGAAGGAGAGAATCCAAGAAATTTGAAGTCTGTTTACCTTCAGGAAAGAAGCGTCCCAAAAGTCTCGAACTTACTGTTTCTGTAGGAGAGGGAGAACCCCCAAATCCAGAAACTCTTCTGACTCAAGAGGAAATAAGAACTGCAAATCTAGGCATAGCAGCCATCCTCGAGACAGTGGCCACTCTGGATGTAGGGACTAATGCAGCTCTGGAGAAAGGCTCCAGGAATCCAGAACATCCCATGGTCCTGGAGAGGGAACCACTCAGAAACCTACTTTCAAATGCATTGTTGGCTGGAGAAAAGGAATCTACAGCACCTCAAGAGGAAAATAGAATTGAAGCTCCAGAGACCCCTGAGATCTTGGGAGGTATAGCAGACAGTGTGTCTCAGGAGTCTTCAAATCCACAAGTGCCTGCGCCTTCAGGTAAGAAAGGAGCTCAGAATCCAATAGACCTAACATCCTTAGGAATGATGGCCTGTAAAAGTACCCCCACCCCCAAGCTGGATGTGGTGGCTCTCACCTGTAGTCCCAGCACTCTGGGAGGCAGAGGTGAGGGGAATGTTTGAGCCCAGGGGTCAAAAGACCAGCCTAGCCAACCTGGTGAGACCTGTCTCTATAATAAGCTAAAAAATTAGCTGGGTGTGATGGCGCATGCCTGTAGTTCTAGCTACTTGGAAGGCTGAGGTGGAAGGATCACCTAAGCCTGGCAGGTCAAGTCTACAGTAGCTGTGAGCATACCACTGCACTCCAGCCTGGGTGATACAGCAAGACTTCGACTCAGAAAAAAGTAACCCCCCAAATTGTCTTTTGTCCTCACTGTATTCCTATCACTGGGATTCCTCAGTGGCTCCTGGAGTCTCTTTGTGAATATGATGCAGGCTGTGGATCCTTTATAAAAAAAAAAAAATGCATGTAGGCCGGGCTTGGTGGCTCAGTCTGTAATTCCAGCACTTTGGGAGGCCGAGGTGAGTGGATTGCCTGAGCCCGCGGGCTTGAGACCCACCTGGGCAACTTGGCGAGACCTCTTCTCTACAATAAGTCAAAAACTAGCCGGGCGTGGTAGCGCGCGCCTGTAGTTCCAGCTACTTGGAAGGCTGAGATGGAAGGATCAGGATCAGGTCAAAGCTGCGGTGATTGGGAGCATGCTACTGCACTCCAGTCTGGGCGACAGAGTGAGACTCCAACTCAAAAAAAAAAAATGCATGTATGCACATGTTCACAAATGTTGCATCAAATTTCAGTTAGTTCTTGGACACTGTGGAGTCCTTCTTTAGAATCCAAGGGCTTCGTGGACCCCAGGTTGAGAATGTGGATTAGATTGAGTAAAAATATCCACTTTTCACAATAACCCCATGGTGGTATGTCCTGGGGCTAAGATTCTTCCAATCACCTTCGGGGAAGACCTATTGTCCAAAATCCTAACTATTTCTCTTTTACTGATGCAGTAGTCATTAGGGTTATGCTTGGTTGTGAATAACAGACACCCAAATACAGTGGCTTCAATAAGATAGAAGCTTGTTCCTCTTTCACATAAATGATCACAGGGGGTCCCAGACAGATCCATGGGCCAGGATCACAGGCTCCTGCTGTTTTTCTGCTCCATCAAGTTTGTTCTCAAGCTCATGCTCTTAGACACCCTCATTCGACGCAGCAGGATGGAGGGACAAAGGACAATATAGTATCACTTAGAGAAGATTTCTAAAAATTTCTAGAAACTTCTCATGACATCTCCATTTGCATCCCTTTGACCAGATTGTAGTCAACTGACTACACCCACACCTACAGCCTGGACAACATAGTAAGACTCCCTCTCTACAAAAAAAAAAAAAACATAGCCAAATGTGGTGGCATACACCTGTAGTCCCAGCTACTCAGGAGTCTGAGGTGGGAGGATCAATTGAGCCAGGAGTTCAAGGCTGCAGTGAGCTGTGATCATGCTCCTGCACTCCGGCCTAGGTGACAGAACAAAAACCTGTCTCTAAATAAATAAATGAATACATAAATAAACAAACAAATAAATAAAATGACTACACCTAATTATAAGGGAGGTTGGGAAATGTAGATTTGCGGGGAGGTGGGAGGTGGGGACGCAGCCATATGGACAATTAATTCCTTCATAAGGGAAGGGAGACTAGTTCTTGGGGGCCGGTAGCATTCTCATTTACATGTGTGCTTTGAATTCCTGGGACACGTGAGGGGAGGGCATGGGAGGAGACTAAAGGATTGAGTGTGTTTCTGTTTCCTCTTGTATCTCCTGTCATTTCTGCTTATGAAGTTGCTGCTAGCATCTTTGGGCAAGGCTATTCATAACCATTAGGTCTTCGTAGTGAGTTCCACCTTTTAGCCTTATGATGTCCCCGTTTTTGCTTTCCTTTAATGCTTCATGCATTTGAATGTGAGCAGTGGTCCATGTGTTCCTTCATTCAATATACACTTTCCAGTTGCTTATCATGTGCTGGGTATTCTACTGGGGGCTGCGATCTGGCTAGGAGTGGGGACACACAAACCACTGTCCTCTGGGAGCTCCCATTTGAGTTATGGGCAGCCTGGGTGGTTTTTTGTTTTGTTTTGGGGTTTCTTTTGAGTTGGAGTCTCACTCTGTTGCCTAGGCTGGAGTGCAGTGGTATGCTCACGGCCACCCCAGTGTCAACCTGCTGGGCTGGGCTCCCACAATTCTTCCACCTCAGTCTTCCAAGTAGTTGGAACTACAGGCATGTGCCACCACACCTGGTTAATTTTTTGATTTATTGTAGAGATGAGGTCTTGCCAAGGTGCCCAGGCTGATCTCAAGCATGTGGGCTCAGGCAATACCCTCACCTTGGCCTCCCAAAGTGTTGGGATTACAGGCTTGAGCCACTGTGCCTGGCCACCTGGATGGTTTTAATGGCAAAGCAAACATCTGTTGGAGTGTCTTGCTCTCCTTTAAATGACCTGCTGGATCTGTGTCTGTGCAGGGGGAAGATATAGGATTTATAGCACAGGGCCATGGTCTTTCTGTAGGATAAATGCCCAAGAATTCCAAGTTTTAGGAATAATCTGAGGTCTAGCCCTTAGCGCTCCATCCCAGTACCCTGTTTGCTACCTCATTTGGTGGAAATCGAGGAGGACAAACTAGGAAGTGACCAGAGTCTAACCGGGAGCTCATGTCTGTCTGCCCAAGCTCTCTCTCTGCTGTGCTTGGCGTAACTTCTCCATACACGTCTTGAGTTTCTACTCAGGAGATGTTTCTACTGCATGTTTGCAGGGAGGCCGCCAACTGTGAGTCCCCTTTGCCAGGCCCAGGAAGGAGACTCGGTTGGTGGTGCCTGCGAGCTTGATTCCTGCAGTTGCCCTGTTGCTTCTGGAGATCCCCAGCCCTCAGGCAACCACTTGGGCAGCTGTAACCAGTGCCAGGCCTTGCCTTCAAGGAAGAGCTCCGGAAGCCTAAGGCCCCAGTCCCTGCCACAGTGTAAGCGCCACATGAAGCAGGCACAGCTGCTCTTCTGTGAGGATCACAGGGAGCCCATCTGCCTTATCTGCAGTCTGAGTCAGGAGCACCGAGGCCACTGGGTACGCCCCATTGAGGAGGCCGCCCTGGAATACAAGGTAGGTGGTCCCTGTCTTGAGGCCTTCTCTGCCGGGCACTCGGACACATTGGGCTTTGCTTCATTTTCCCAACAACTCTGGGGTGTTGGTGCATTAAGGACTCTCAGGCTGTAAATGGCACAAACACAATATAACCCAGGACAGCAAAGAGAATTCTATGTTGCTCAGAGGTCTGGGGAATCTGGCTTCACATATGGCTGACCCAGTAGTTCATAGGAGGTCTTTGGGACTTGCTCTCTCTCACCATTTTTTGGTTCTGCTTCCCTTGGTGGTGAATTTATTCTTCCTTTTTCCTGAGAACCCCTCACTTTGCTTCCAGAAGCAGATTTTCCCCTCTAGAGTTGGCACCCACTAAAGATGGCAGGAGCCAAATTTAAGCTTCTCAACAAGTGCTTTTTTCCCAGGAGCAAATTCAGAAGCAGCTGGAACATCTGAAGGAACTGAGAAAATCTGGGGAGGAGCAGATATCTCAGGGGGAGAAAACGACAGCAAACTTTCTGGTAAGGCCAGAAGCTTCTTATGGCTCATCCTTGCCTGTTCACGCCTGTGGAAGGAGGGAGGGGACCAGAAGCAAGCAGGCATCCCTGAGATGCTGTTTTGGTTCACAGGACAGAGGGATGGTCAGCTGCTCTTGGGGGGCAAGGGGTAACTGGCAGTCAAGAATGAGCTCATGCCTGTAGAGGGAGACTACCTCAGCAGGGAGGAGTCACCTCCAAGGACTCTGTCACACTTCTTCATACTCACCACAAAACGGTTTAGAGGAACTAATGCCAGTGGTTATTGCTATAAAACAGGATTGAGGGAAGGGGAGGAGAGATTTTTCAACTTTAAGTACTCTTTTGTATGTTTTTTTTTCTTTTTTGAGTTGGAGTCTCACTCAGTCACCCAGACTGGAGCGCAGTGGCTGCTCCCAGCCACTGCAGCCTCGTCTTCTGGGCTCCGGCCATCCTTCCACCTCAGCCTTCCGAGTAGCTGGAATTACAGGCATGTGCTACCATGCCCGGCTGATTTTTGATTTGTTGTAGAGATGAGGTCTCGCTGCCCAGGCAGGTCTCGAACCCGCGGGCTCAGGCAATCCACTCACCTCAGCCTCCCAAAGGCGCGGGATTACAGGCTGAGCCACCGAGCCTGGCACTCTTTTGTATGTTTTTAAATTGTGTTATTCTTGTTATCTAGAGACAGGGCCTTGCTCTGTCGGCCAGGTCGAAGTACAGTGGCATAATTATAGCTCACTGCAGCCTTGAAATCCTGGGTTCAAAGTTCCTCCTGCCTCGGCCTCCTGAGTAGCTGGGACTATAGGCACATGCCACCATGCCCAGTTTTTTTTATTTTTTGGTAGAGATGAGGTCTTGCTATGTTGCCCTGACTGGTCTTAAACTCCTGGCCTCAAGTGATCTTCCCACCTTAGCCTCCCAAAGCACTGGAATTGCAGGCATGAACCACCACACCAGCCTGTTTTTATAATTGCCTTGTCAATTTTATTTATTTTATTTTATTTTGAGTTTGGAGTCTCACTCTCTTGTCCAGGCTGGAATACAGTGGCACACTCACAGCTACCGCAACCTTGACCTGCTGGGCTCAGGCGATCCTTCCACCTCAGCCTTTCAAGTAGCTGGAACTATAGGCACACCCTACCATGCCCAGCTTATTTATTTATTTATTTATGGTAGAAACAAGGTCTTGCCATGTTGCTCAGGCTGGTCTTGAACCCCTGAGCTCAGGCAATCCTCTCGCCTTGGTCTCCCAAAGTGCTGGAATTATAGGCTTGAGTTGCTGCACCCAACCATCTGTTTTACTTTTTAGAAATAAAAACCATATTGATTTTTAAAATTCAAAAAACAGACATTTTGCCATTTAAAATATTTTCTTTAAAAGTATGGTCTTGCGATAACCAGATTCAGTAAGTACAACTCATGGGCCTTTTTCTGTCTGGCTGGTGTCTAGCCTCTTGGATGTGTAAGCTGCTTCCATTTTTTCTGGAAATGGAGGCACCTATCCCCACAGAGCCTTGATTTATATATGTATGTATGTGTAAGTTGGAGTCTCACTCAGTCATCCAGGCTGTCATGCACTGTCACGCTCATGACCACCGCAGCCTCCACCTACTTGGCTCAGGTGATCCTTCTGCCTCAGCCTTCCAAGTAGCTGGAACTACAGGCAGGCACAACCACGCCCAGCTAGAGCCTTGATTTTTCTAGTGCATTTCCATTGGTGGATTCTGTCTCCCTCTGTGGGTTTCAAACTTCTGACAAGTGGAGTCTGTACTTATCACACCTCACTGGGTAACAGGCAAAGGTAACCAAGGAAAGAATGTGGGGTAGGCACTGGCCCATGTGTCTGACTTTTGTGACACTCCTGAATTGTAGGGAAATACAAACTCCTTCCTACAACTGCAGGTGGCTGGGAACATGTGAATGGAGCAGGGTTCAGATATGTCCCCAAGGAGGACGAGGCAGGAGCCTGGATGGTTCAGGGAAACCCAGGAAGACAGGAGGGTTCAGTCTTTCTTAAGACTCTCACAATAACACAGGGTCTGCCTCCCCACCCTTCTCTTTTTTTCATGTGGACTGGCCATTCCCATTCAGAGCCACTACTGAGAACTTGCCTGCCAGCACTGTGGGGGGGAAGGGACAGTGCCTTCCTGGAGCAGTTTTTCATAGTCATATTTTTTAATCATGGAAAAGGGAAGGGAAAGCTCTTCTTTACTGCTGAATGCCAGTTAATACAAATGTGGAATGACTAAATTTAAAAATTTCCATTATACAAATACCAGTATAATAACTGACACAGGCAGGAATTGGCAGATGCTAAAATTTTAGAGGAAGGTTGTTAGAGAACAAGATATTTATACTCTCTCAAAGTATCACTCCCCAAGTTACTTAATAATTATACAGGAAATAATGTATATTGACAGTGAAGAGATCTGGTAGACCCCTCTTTAGCCAAGAGACCAGTCGAAGCATCACAAAGGTGGTGTCAGTCTACCTGGATATGCTTGCCTCCAGATGGGATACACTAGGGATAGCACATGAAATTTACTATGTGGTTTTCTTGTCCAAAGCATTTAGCCTGAATTTAATCATGTGCAACATTATCAGACAATTTTAAAATTTGGGCCATTGAACAAGGCAACTGACTTGTCCTCTTAAAAAAAAATAATAATAATTCAGCCTCACTACCAACAATGACAGCACCAAAAGATGAGGAGATATTTTTGGTTCCGAGAACTAAAGATTTAGTCCTGTCTTTTTGAACCAAAAATAACAAGACTCTTAAGTTCAGCCTTTGTGGATCTGAAGGTCCTTCTTCCCTCTTGGAGGAAGGAAAAGGTGCTCTTAAGCCATTTCACCTCTCTGAGAAGCTCTCTAGTGACTGTGAAAAAGACAGCAAGAGAAGAACTGATGACGGACCACTGTGCAGTGGCAGTGGAAGCCAAGATCACCTCCGTTCAAGTGGACTGGCCACTCCCATTCAGAGCCACTACTGAGAACTTGCCTGCCAGCACTGTGGGGGGGAAGGGACAGTGCCTTCCTGGAGCAGTTTGGTGGTCCATTTGTGACCTTGTCCACTTATGGCTCCAGGGCACGTGCTGACTTCACACTGGTTTTCAAGGAAGGGAAAAGATGACACAAGGGTCTTAGTTTCCCTAATAAAGGACCACAGACTGGGTGGTTTAAATGATAGAAATTTTTTTTCTCTCTCACAGTTCTGGAGGCCAAAAGTCTGAAGTCATCGTTGGTAGACAGGGTTGGCTCCCTCTGAGCGCTGGGAGGGAAAGATTCATTCTAGGCCTCTCTGTCAGCTTGTAGGTGGTCATCTTTTTTGAGTTTCTTCACATGGTGTTCTATGTGTTTCTGTGTCCAAATTTTTCCCTTATGTAAGGACAACATTTATATTGAATTAGGGCCTCACCCTAAGATGAGTATGATCTTTTCTTAACAAATTACATCTTCAAGAACTCTATCTCCAAATAAAATCACATTCTGAGGTACCGAGAGTTAGGGTTTCAACCTGTAAATTTCAGAGGGGGACACAGTTGAGCCCCTAACACCAGGTTTAAGGGCATTTTGCAAGAGCTAGCCCTGGCAACTGTCAATCTGTTCTGGAAGGTTCCAGCCAATATTGCCCCTTGCTTGGCAGTCCAGGCCTCCAACAGGCTGAGGAAGTCTGCCTCTTACCCACCTCCAGGAGGGGGCTTCTGGGAATGCCCATACACACACACATCCACCCCACAGCACAGACCACTTCCCCTCCTTGTTCCCTGCTCCCAGAAACAAACCGAATACCAGAAGCAGCGGGTGCGGAGCCAGCTAGAGCAGCTGTGCCAGTTTCTGGAGCAGCAAGAGCAGCTCTTTGTGGCCTGGCTGGAGGAGCTGAACCAGACCATTGGTCAGGTCAGGGAGACGTACACCACCCGTGTGTCCCGGGACATCGCCTTGCTCAACATGCTGATTGGGGAGCTGGAGGCCAAGCGGTGCCAGTCGGAATGGGAGCTTCTGCAGGTGAGTGCAGTCAGGCCTGGCCTTTCTCGGACTACTGTGCCCGTCAGGATGCCTTAGGCGCCCAACTCTGCCATCAGCTCTTACTCCGAACCAGTGAGTAATAGGCCTCTGAGGCCTGGGGTAGGACTTGGTCTTGCTGACCTACAATGCCTCTTGTGTCTAGACCCCTTTCTGAGGCCTCTCAGGTGCCCAGGGTGGCCTAGCATCACCCAGAAGTGATCAGCAGGGCTATACTTTGCCTGCTTAGAATTAGAACTGGCCAGGCGCAGTGGCTCATGCATATAATCCCAACACTTTGGGAGGTGGAACCAAGAGGATTGCCTGAGCCCACAGGTCTGAGACCAGCCTGGGCAACTTGGCGAGACCTTGTCTCTATAATAATCAGAAAATTAGCCAGGCAAGGTGGCACATGCCTATGGTTCCAGCTACTTGGAAGGCTGAGGTGGAAGGATCACCTGAGCCCAGCAGATCGAGGCTGTGGTGGCCATGAGCATGTCACTGCACTCCAGCCTGGGTGACAGAGTGAGACTTTGACTTAAAAAAAAAGAATTAGAAGTGAGGAGAGATCCTCCAGTTTCGCTGACACCCTGGGGCTGGGTGCCTTGGTCAGGGCAGGGAGCTGCTGAAAGTCCAAGGGCCCAGGAGGAGAGGCTAGGAGTCAGCACAGCCTCTAAGAGGCTGGTAATGGACAGTTTCCCTCTTTTCTCTCCTAGGACACCAAGGACATCAGAGATATCTTGTGCAGGTACAGAGAGGTCCCATGGTGTGCCCTTGTGTGTCTCGCAGGAAGCATTTGAAAGAGACAGTCCTAGAAGGGACCTGGGAGGAAGACGCTTCTAACTCTGGGTATCTGTGGCTCCAGACTCCTCCCATTCCCTGAAGCTTCCTGTGGCCCTTCTGGATCTGCATAGGGAGAAGTGAACCTGGTTGGGAGGGAGGCTGACCAGATGGGGCTGCAGACCAGGAAGGATGAATTCAGTTTGTCCTGCTGAAACGAGATGGAGGCTTCCTAAGAAGCCTCTGGAATGGATTGTGTCCCAGGCAATTCGCCTCATGAAAACTGCCCCTGTAGAACTCCTGGTGACCTTGGGGTAGGAAGCACATTCTGGGAGTCTCTGAGGAGCCCCTTTGGAGTGGAGCTGTGCCAAGCCCCACAGGCAGGGAAAGGGAGGGAGGGAGGAGTCTGAGCCTTAGAATCACTGGGGCGCTTTACAAAGTCATGATGTCCTTTTGTGTCTGGATTTTTTTCCCTTAGCATAATGTCTTCAAGGTTCATCTATGCTGTAACTTTATATGACTGTATAACTGTCCATTGTATGTACATACCACATTTTGTTTATCCATTCATTGACATTTGGATTTTTTCTAACTTTTGACTATCGTGAATGCTATGAACACTTATCTGTGTACAAATATCTGCTTGAGACCCGCTTCAAATTATTTTTGGTATATACCAGAAGTGGAATTGCTGGATAATACGGTAATTCTATGTTTAATTTTTTTGAGGAAACACCATACTATTTCCCACAGTGGCTGCATCATTTCATATTCCCACCAGCAATGCACAAGGGTTCCAATTTCCCTGCTTCCTTGCCAACATTTGTTATTTTCTATTGTTGCTGTTGTTAAAATTGTCATCCTAATGGATATAAAGTGATATTTTATTGTGTTTTTTTCCCTCACTTATTATCATTTTTACTTCAATAAAAAGAAAATCACTAGGGAAGTATAATTAATTTGACATAGTTAAATCTGGTAGATAGCAACATCAATATCATTTGAAAGCCATTGTGAAAACTCATTGTGGTTTTGAAATCTGTGTTTTTTAAAACTTCCCAGTAGACAACAATCTATGACCAAAAGGCCAGGGAAATATGGCCTTGGGAAATATGAAGTGCAAAATGCACTTCCAGCTCATGGGCGCTCTGGCCACTCCTTGTTCTAGCTTTCTCTGGTCAAGTCTCTTGTCTCTAGGGCCAAGATGGTGCCTGCCCCTGAGCAGTGGGTCACTCCTCCACAGATGAAAGAGAAGATCCACCTGTTCTGCCAGAAATCAGAGTTGGTGGAGAAGAGCATGAAGAGCTTCTCAGGTAGGAGCTTGGGAGAAGATGGGAGGCACCTACTCACTTCCTTACTGAGATCCAGGTATCCCTGAGCCCTCTCATTTCCTGTCTCTGTCTCCTACAACCTTGTTGAGCTGCTTTCAGCCTCTCCCTGACATATCCCTAGCCAAAGGACCTAACTGGAGCTTCTCTCTGCTCCCTTTCCCCCATTTTAGATAAACTGAGTACAGAAATGAAAACGTTCAGTGGTGAGTACAGTGGTGGTTGTGTGGGCTGACTAGGAATTACTGAGATGTTCCCTTGCGCTGTTGATTTGGGTGCACTTGTAGACGAGAGAAAAGCACCTTGGGCAAAGGCAGGAGAAAGGTTGTGGCAGGCCCCACAGGCTCCATGCCCAACTCATTGACTGAGTTAACTCATTAGACCACAGTCTCCAAGGCAGACCTTGGAGTAATGGGGTTATACCCAAGCATAGGATGCAGAGCTTTAAGCAGGGGGATCCTTGTCTTTCTTTGTTGTGGGGATAGTGTCATTTTGGCCCCTCAGAATGGAAATGCTCAGGACTTTTCCCCCTCCATATGATTTTTCTCTGTAGTTCTGGAACTGACTGGCGTGCAGGCATATGCTGGTAAGTGCCCAGATCAAGACAAATGGCCTTGGCCTGCTGGGTCTCTGTGCTGTTCTCACCGCGTTTCAGAAGATTACCTGTCTGTTTCCTGGAGGTGGGGGGAATCCTGTGAGGATGTTGCCCACGGACACTCAGCTGGGTATTCTAATTTTCTCTGCAGTTAATGTGCTTCTGGATGAAGAAACCGCCCACCCCAACCTCATCTTCTCTGATAATCTGAAGAGTGTGAGACTTGGAAACAAATGTGACCAGCTGCCTGATGGCCCAGAGAGATTTGATAGCTGCATCTTTACCCTGGGCTCTTCCAGCTTCCTCTCTGGCCGCCATTATTGGGAGGTGGAGGTTGGAGACAAGACAGGGTGGGTCCTGGGAGTCTGCAAGGCATCCCTGAGCAGGAAGGGGAGCATAACTCTGTCACCAGAGAATGGCTACTGGGTGGTGATGATGATGAAACGAAATGAGTACCAGGCAACCACCTTTCCTCCGACCCGCCTGCAAATAAGGGAACCCCCTAAGCGTGTGGGCATCTTCCTGGATTTCACAGCTAGAGGCATTTCCTTTTACAATGTGACAGCCAGATCCCACATCTATACATTCTCCCGTTTCTCTTCCTCTGGACCTCTTCAACCTATCTTCAGCCCTGGGGTACATGATGGGGGAAAGAACATGGGTCCTCTGACCATCTGTCCAGTGGGTAGACAGGAGCCTCACTGAACATCCATCGCTGCATCTCTAACCCAGCTTCTGGCCTCTGTATCTTGCATTCATGCACTCAACAGTACTGGAACACCTACTGGGCACCAGCTGCCACAGGAAATGTAATGAATAACAAAAGAGTCACGGGGCCCAAGGAGCTTACCCAGGCGTAGCAGAGGCAAACTAGGTATGAAAATATTGTTTTTCTTTTTTTTAAACATATTTTTTATTATAAAATTGTGGGGTACAGTTAAGGGTTAGG